GTACCCCTGCTCGTGACACTCTCTATCGGGGTCTCATTGTATCTTTGCTTTATCTAACAACCAGAAGACCAAACATCATGTTCAGTGTGTGTCTATGTGCTAGGTTTCAAGCCAATCCCAAACAATCCCATCTTATAGCAACAATAAAAAACTCTTCGTTATCTTGCTCATACCCCTAACTTAGAACTTTGGTATCCTTCATTCAATTCCCTAAAACTTATAGGATACACATATTTTGAGTTCATTGGCAGTAGAAATGATAGAAAAATATCTCTGAATGCTGTCAGTTCCCATGAGAGCCACTTGTCTCTTGGTCTTAAAAGAAGCAGGCACGTGTTACCTTGTCCACCATCGAAGCTGAATATATTCCAGGATTATAGACTCATTGTCTCTAATCTGTCAATTTTTTGTGATAACCCAAGTGTCATAAGTATGAGCAAACATCCAGTGCAATACTCTAGAATCAAGCATATTGAGATCAAATATCATTTCCTTCGATATTAATTTTAAGGGGATTGTTTCTATTTCTAATATTTCAATGATTTTTTTGGTAAACCTATAGGTTGTTATCATTTGCTTTTATTCTCTGAGAAGTTGGAATGATTGACGGTACTACTCTTCTCTCCACAAAACCTTTATTCCAAAATAGGGGTTCCATAGGGAAAGTTTTTGTCCAGTTTTTTTCTCTCCATAAATACCTTCTACTTGTTTTTTCTCTTCTTATCTCCTAAGCATCACCTCTTTCGTTTCCCTTTCATCTACTTCTTTCTTTGACAATGTCTGGCTCAGATGCTATTCTTACTTATTCCAATAATGACAGTAATTAAGTCATCATTCAAGGTTATTACCACTCCTTCTCCAACATGCTTCCCATTATCAGTGAGTATGGGCTTCCTCCCTTATCATCCTTTCTGGATGAGGTTTCCTTTCTCATCGCTAATTTTGGTTGGGAAGGATTCTTCATCCTCCAAGTCCCTCATTCTTCAGCCTTTTGTCCCCTGGTTTTTCGGTAGTTCTACCATAATCTTCTCCGACGAGGTCCGGTTCCTCTTGTCCCTCTCGACCCACGTTACAAATCTAGGGTGCCATGTCACTTTCAAACTCCAACGACTTGTTACCATCTCAATCTTCCATCTCAGGGCCTTACTCTGTTGTACACGTCTGAGCTTCAACTCTATGACTTTGACTATGATAATGAGCTTCAACAGTTAACTGAGAGGGTCATTGACATATTTGTTCTCCCTGGCCATCTTAAAGTACTCCATTGGCTCATCACCAGGTTCTTACTTCCTTGCACTACTCACCTCTTCACCATTGAACACATTGATCTCTTCAATATGGTCAATGTTGTTTGAGGAAGAAAGGTTAATGTTGCCTCACTAATTGTGTCTCCACATGGCCAAGCTTGCTCCACGGGAGGGCTTCTGGGACACTGCTCTTGCATATGCCACCTTTATCACCCAATTCCGTACCACTATTGGGTGCGATATCAATGAATACTATGTTGAGCATAAGTCTATTTCTTATTTTATTCCCAAGATTTTTGCCATCACAAATACCTATTGCATTCTTAGAGATCCCAACCATCAAGGGGAGAATGAGGATGAGGCTACCTTTGGGACATGTTGACATGTTAAGGAGGAAGCTTGTGGTGTTGAGGGGGAGTACGAACAAGCTCCAATTTAGATTATGACCAAGTACATATTAGGTCTCTTATGTTGTGTTTTTGTTTTGTTATTGACTTTGAAATATTCTTCTTTTGATGTGTTTCTTTTGTTATAATGATATGTTCTTCCTTTGTTTTCCTTCATTAAATTTGATCTTGATTTTTATCATGTCTTATGATGGTTGGTATCCCTTAAGAAATTAAGTGCTGCAAAAAGAAAAGCAGAGGAGATTGTTGGGAAAAAGAAAGGCTTTCCCTTTCTGCTCTCACCTATCAAAAGGTAACAACCTCAGTTAAATCTCTCTAATTTATCTTACTTGTCATAGCTCTAAAGTATGATCAGAGGATCTCGTAAATTAAAGAAAGGTCAAAAGAAGAATCTCTCAAATCAAATCAAGAGAAGGCCATTGCATTAAAAACTACAAATAGGATGAATCAACAGGATCACAAATCTCATTGAAGGTGATAGAGCAATCATACACAAAGCGAGATCCAACACTCTGTTATTAGCAATAGGAGTAAGAAGTACTAGGAAATCACTGGCGGTAAGGAGCCATCTTACGACCACACCTCTCTCAAGACCTGTCACGCACCGAGTGAATAACATACAACTACACCTTCTCGATGAGTTCACATTCTATGGAATCTCATTCCTAATAAGCATGCCTTATGAATTCCTAGCCAAGCTAGCTGGCAACTTTCATTTGCGCTTAAAGATTGTCGAGTGAATCTTCTTATCCACCATTTTCATCAGTGAAGAATCAGAGAGTGTTGAATTTTTGGTTTTGATGTCAAAGGTGACGAATTCCAAGAAACTACAAGATTCCTTGGGCTTAAATTAGTCGTCTTTGTCATAATAAACTTTGTCGACATCATCAATCCATCACCATTCCTTCCGCAGTTGCTTTGCTTCTTAAAGGAAAACTGCTTGGTTTGGCTGGTCAACAAGATGTACGCAAATGAACTGTCGCGAAGATAGTTTGTCCCAGCTCCAATGGCCGATTCGATCTACAGGCGAACCACAAACCACAAGAATATCAACTTGTTTCGGAAGGGGATCGTGGAGTATGTTGTACGAACATGAAGGACGGTGTTCAAGATTTACCTTAACAATTGGTTGATACAGTAGGGTGTTAAAAACTTATCTAAACCTCAACCATTATATGTATCTAATAGCTTGAGAATTGGTTATAAAGTTTGCACCATATGACTTAGCTAGGGCTAGTTTGGCCCTGTTGTAACTTTTGTAGAAGCAAATTCTAGCTGGAGCAGAGAAGTACTTTTCAAAAAAAGCAGTTGAATGTTTGGTTGAAGAGATCAAAATGGATCTTGTTAGATTTATTTTATATTAAATAATATAATCTTGTATTTTATATTTTAAATTAAATATAGTAAGGATAATATTGTATTTTCAAAAAAAACTTATCGCAGAAGCTCCAAATCGAAGCTTATGCTTTTATGTTATACAAAAGCACTTTTAAGCTTTTTAAAAGCCGAGTTTTTAGAGGTTTTTGGTAATACTTCAGCTTTTGAAAGCAAAAATTACTTCTAAAAATCGGGCCAAACATAGACTTAATGTTGCCCATATTCACGCGTCTAGGAAAAATGAAAGAATTAAGTCCAAAATAAAATAGGAGTAGAAAAAGTTAGAATTCCAAAAAAGTAGAGGAAGAATGTCAAAAAAATAAAAAGGCAAATAGAAAGGAATTGAAATTGAAATTTGAATGGCAGTAGAGAAAAAGTAATGTTGTCATTTTTAGTTAAATGTTTGATGTTCAGCATAGCATAGTAAGGGATTTATGTTTAATGCTTAAAGGATTAGAGTTCAAGTTTTATGAGATTCATGGATTATATTTACGATTTTAGTAGAGGTGGTAGTCGGTAATCCGGTTGACGGTGTAACCTGTTACCAAACTCGTGACCGGCGGTTACGGTAAGCGGTAGCGAACAATTAATAATCGGTATATCGCATGTCCCCCTGTTAATTATCGTCGGTTATTTGGTTTGCTGGTAACCGCCATATAGAACAAAACGACATACTAAAGATAACAACCCTGATGCTAATTTCACGCCTCTGTCTTCTCTTCTCTGCTGTGAGGCCGCGACTACCACTCACAATCCGCCCACCATGCTCTAAAAGAGAGGGGCGCCACTGCTCAACGTACGTGGAAGCCCCACCGGCCACCGCTGAATCCCAATCCATGTTATGCCTCTCCAAAAACCTTTCCTCTCTCGCAAAATCAGCTCTCTCTAACTCTTGCCCACCTTCTTCTTCCCTCCCATCCCATCTCGTCGCTTTCTGCTTTTCCTTTCAAATTTTTGTTTGTTGCTTGGGAAAGAAAATTTCAGAGCTCTTTCATCTCGCATATTTTCCCTTCACGAAGAGCAGAAGCAAAGGCTCCAAGGCCCAATCCATCGTCCACTTTGATTTCCTCACTAGTTCCTCAGCGCCCCATTCATATCCCTCACTCTAGTCCATGATTCCTCCGCTACATCTAGTGTCCCAGTTTGCCGACATGGAGCACGGTGGCGGAATCATCGACAAACTTGTTGAACCGGTAACCGACAAACTTGTTGAACCGGTAAGCGACCCGGTTTATTACCTCCCCTAGATTTTAGTGGTAGATTTTATAGTTAAAATATTTTATATTAGTGCTCAGGGTTTACAAGTTAAGAGGTTATTTTAGTGTTTAGTGATTCAAAGTTTAGGGTATTAGTTTTTAGGGGGGTTCATGTTAAGTTTAGTTCAATAGTTAGGATTTTGGGTATTAAAGGTTTATGGTTTAGGATTTTGCTATTCAGGGTAGGGGATTTGGAGTTTAAGAGATTAAAGGTTATATGATTTGCGAGTTTGGAATGATAATCTTTGATAGATAGTCGATGAAACTAATGAATGAGTAACCACTTTGTGCACTATTAAGTTCTAAAAACTCAATCTTTTAGTTTTAATTTTATATTCGTGATTCTTTAATGTCTTTAATATTATGTCCATCCTTCTCGATTTTTAAATCTTCAACGACGTAACCCAAATTATCGATTCAGAGATTTGATAGAACTCTCTATTAAACTAATTATCAATATTTTTACAGAAGCAGAAGTGGTCTACCTGATTAGTCATAAGTCAATCTGCACGACTTTATGGTCGACCTAATTAAGAGTAATCGATCTAATTGACAATGTGGTGAATCGCAAACCTTCACTCAACTCCCAATGTACACGTATATTTTTAATTAATTTCTTTATGTCCATTAGCTGAATTAATTTATTATTTTTATTTGACTTCAATAAGACGACGTAGTTTGCCGATTTTTGGACGACGCCTTTCGTTTTAGTTTTTACCATTTCTCAACAAATAAACAAGCTCTTAAGATTTTCATCTTTTTCACAAAAGAAAAAGTACCAAAAGGGAAAGAAGGGCCATCGAGGAAGAAGAGGCCAACAGGGAAGGAGGAAAGGAACAGGAAGGAGAAAGGAGAAAGGCTGGGCTGGCCGGCAGCGGTAATCGGAGGGGGCGGCGTCATGGTTCTGAACAGCAATCTGGTGGTGACGGTGGCTGACGTGTCGGCGAATCTCTGCCAATACATCGCCTGCAACCCGGAACGCCTCCCCAGCGACCAAGTCCTCCACCTCATCTTCTGCGTACCGATGCAGCAATTCGGCCGCCTCGCGCTCTCCCTCTGGACCTATCTCTGCTACAACCCTAATCCGGCCAATTACGTCTCCGATCTCGACTCCGACTCCGATTGAATCCATTTCCCGATCGGCCGAATCTGGTCCGCCGGCGATCGAATCCCTTCTTGTTGTTTTGTATATGTATCATACCGGGGACGATGATAGAAGGCCGTTCCCTCGCCGTCGCCATTTCCAATTCCTGCACAAACCCTAATAAAGTCGCCAACTTTACTCCTTTACCGGGTCTTCACCTTCGGGCATCAATGGCGACTCGTTACAGAGCTCTTTCAAAATCAACGGTGTCTCTCTTCAAACACGCGGTCAACAAGCCCGCCGGCGTCAAACCCACGCCCACCTCGGCCGCTTCTCTTTTCCCAGCTCGCCTATCTTCCACATTCTCAAGGCCAATTGCTCAGCTGGGTGCTCTTCAATCGCTTCACTCCGCCGTGTCGGCATCGATTCCACCAGCTCGCGGTCGCTGTCTCAGGGTATGCTCTGCAGTGCGAACCCAGGAGTTTGATAAATCTCTCCCAAATCATTTGTTTGTTGGTTATCTGTAAGCAACTTTTTACTCTTGAATTCTATTCCATGTATCGTTTACTTCGTTCTAGTTTTTGACAGCAGTTCAATTGAATCTCTGTGCTTCCAATTTTTCCTCTCCTACTAACTTAGTGCTGGATAGGAAATGCCACGAACCAGAACAATTGACTAGTGAATTACAGTCAGTCATTAAGTGAGAAGCGAATGATACATGTGATTTTCCAGGAGAGGCATTGCAATGAGTGTCGTATTGGTCGAGAACTCATTAGAGTACGAGTTGCTTTAGTTTAGTAGAGAGCCAACGGGAACCGATTGATGATACTGATTTGGATGCCTCCTTATTCAGGGTTTAAATTATCTTAATTTAGAGCAGAAAGATGAATGTGCTTCACTATCTCCTTGAACCACAAAACAGATAGGGGTCATCGACTACCGGACAGTTTCCCCCCTCCAATTGTGCATATGAGAGTGCATGCATAGAGACAGCCAAACAACTTATCTTTATGTAGAAATCGGTGGAATTCTATCCACTTTATCGGTTCTCGAATTGTATCCACTTTTCAGGTTCAGTAATTTGATCTTTAGCTGGATATGAGGCCATTGTAATGTTGTTGGCCTAACAGTCTAGCTTTGAATTCTCTTCATTTTCGAAGTTGATGATGATGGAATTCTCAGATTTTTCTTTAATCCAACACCATATAGAGTTATCAACAAACACAACTGAAAAAAAGATTGGCAAACACAACTTCACAAATCACAAAATCTGTCAGCAAAACAGAAAGGACAGAGAACTGGGCTCCCTCTCTTTTCCAAGTTTCTTAATTGCTTTTTTCTTGTGATTGAATTCTGATTGACATATGGGTCCTGGCGAAATCGATCGAGGAATTGATGAGGAACTTTCGACGAGAGGGATCCCCCGCCGTCGGTGGAGCCGGTAGCGTCGCAGCGGATCGACAGCAGCGGTCGAGATGGATGGGTCCTTTAGCTTGGCCATCGCCGTGAAGTTGTACACGAATTGCGCCTCCTCCGGCAGGATGAATAGCTTGTAGGAGGAGGAACTGATGGCGGCGGAGCGGCTGACAAAGTGAGTGAAGCGAGAATAGTCGATTTCGGAAACATGGGAGTCAGCGCTCCTGTCGGCGGCCCAGTAGTTGATTCTGAGCCAGGCTCCCGCCGTCGAGCACGACTGGAATTCGCGAGCTAGCAATATGAATAAGAACAGTGGGAAGATGACCATCGCCGCCTTGTACAAGCTCGTTTCTCTGATTCAATGCCAGAAGAAGTTCCATCGCAAGAAGAGGTGTCGCATCACTCCGAAGATCTGTCAGGCATATTCTCCGGCTCCACCACCACCAGCGGCAATTGCCATTGCTCCAAGAGACGGCGGAGGAATCTCCGGCGACTGGCTTTGTCCGGCCGATCCTGCATTCAATGCCCCTCCGGTGAAAATTAAAACTCCATTTATTGGAGGTATTCGTCTGTTTCGGACTGACTTTACGACATGAGTCATTAAGCTTCATTATGGGCTTTTAAATAATCATTTATTTGATTTTATTAGGGAAATAATTCCCTATTCATATGGGTCAGCTCAATAATTCTCTATTCATACCGACGCTCTAACGGGGATTGAGCTTTGCTCAAGAATGACAGGTTCCGTTAAAGGCAATTATAGGCATTCAATGTGTCCTTTATTGGCAGTTAATGAGTTTGGCTAACCAAGGAAACACACGCAAGTGTGATCTTTTACTTTAAAATTTAAATGGGCTTTTAATGTGCGGTGGATTTTTGGTCTTCCGAATTGGTTTAACGGAGAATATCTTAATTACATGCTGCTAACCTAAGTTTTGAAGAGAGCATTGAACACTTTCTTCATATGCCCCCAAGCCACCAAGTTGTGGACTTAGTGGGATTGAGCAACTTCAATGTTTCCGCCCTGCCAGTTAATTTTAGTCTATGGTGGCGACATCTTATGATCTCTGAGATCTCCCCATTCCACATTCTCAAATACGTCTATTTACTTTGGAGAATATGGAAGTCTATAAATAAAGTGACTTTTGAATTCTACCAACCTCATGTTCGTTCCTCGCCAAACAATTCTACAACCAGGTCCTAGAAGTCTCCAATTTTCACCCTCTCCTTCGCCCCCAGATTGCTCCTCCCAAATCCCCCGACCTCTTGCGAGCCTCCACCAGAAGACTTGTTGAAGATCAATTTCGATACAGCTATTCGTGACTCATAGTGCTCGTCTGGTCTTGTTATCCGTGGGTCAGACGAGCATGTGGTGCTGCCAGCCAGTATGCATCACTAGGGAGTAGTCAACCTCTACCCGGCAGAGCTCCTACAATTCGGTAAGGTGTCCTAGAAGATTCCGTTGGAGGACCGGTGCTCCTGGAGGGTCGTCAGATCCTAAACTCTTTATCAGTTTGTATATAGTCTAGGGAGGTTCCTAGAGCCGCCAACAGTGTTGCCCATAGAGTGGACTGGCGTCTAAAGCACTGCTATTATCTCTCATAGAGTTAGAGTCTTTCGACTTTTTTGGGTGGGTTCACTACGGTGTCATTTGTATGGGGTTCCTGGGTAGTTTTGTTTGTACAATTCTTTTTCTCTCTTGATATCACTCGGAAATAAAATAAAAACAATTTTTTTTCTTTTCCAACAATTTTCTTTCTTATTTTGTTTGGTTCCCGTGTTTGGTTCTAAGGGTTATGCTATCCTGGATCCGGATATTACAAATCGAGTTCCGGGGGAGAATGTCAATTATGGTAATGGTGATGTAGAAAACACGGCATGAGTTGTTAGCTCTTTTTTGTCTCCTGCTGCAAATCATTGAATTCGATGGTTTCCTCTCAAACCTGTAAATCAGCTGCTAATAGTTTTTAGGTTTAGGTTCATCCCGTATTATATTATACTTTTTTTTATAACCCATGAATCTCAACCCCACGTGGCACTTTGTCACGACAGAGTCTACTAAAGTACTAAACTATTATACAATTTAACTCTTGCATTTGTATATTTACCTACAAAGTTGGGATTGGCTGAGAGATGTCTGCTAACATAGTTAACCATTGGATGATTCTGCTAGGGCTACAATAACATTGATGGTGAGCCAGGAGAGACTGGGGAGGTAGGATATGGCGAGGTCTGAATTGATTGACAAGCCTTTGAAGTCTGCTCAGATCATCAGTGGATAACCTTATGTTGGTAAATCCATCTCCTGCCTCAGATGCATGTTTTGTTTCTGGTTTAGGTAAAATACCACCTCCTTCACTTCCCTGTATTTGGCCTGTAAACCAGATGATCCCCCTAACACCTTAAAGGAGTTCTTCCTCTTTAACATATAACAATCAGCCATCACATGATTGTTCTTCTTCGGGTTTCGATTGGGAAGACCGGGTCCTTCGTCGAGTTTTGGTTGGGGAGAACTGGTCCGACTCCGTTTTTCAGTCAGTGAGGCTTGGTCCGACGTCGTCTTTTGGTCAGTGAGACTTGGTCCAAAATCCATCGTCGGTCCTTGTCCCGCCGTCCGAAAACCACCTTCTAGCCATATCCCACTAATCGATTCATTCCGTGTAGGTCATTGTCAATAGTTTGCACGTATCAATAACTACCCCATTCTAGGCCAAGTTTAACTTATAATGGTGTTGTCATATAGTGGCAATCAATGTCGTATTCACTCGGGTCCTGGTACCCTAGCTTACTTCTCACATTGTTGTTATTTAGCCGATCAGTTTAAGGGGGTTGGTTAGAGGATTTAAGTGAAATAACTGGTAGAGAGAATAAAAAAGGATAAAAGCAGGTACATTGGGGAACTTACCTTTGCCCTAGCCTAGGTCTATCATGCAAATGTCTAAACATGTTGGGTTAAGAGAGTGTGGTGAGTGAGCTATTTTCCATGGGCCTTCGTGATTATCCACACGCCTCCGAGTACGCCCTAACTAGCCCATTGTCACCTCGGTATAGGCTCACATATCTGGGGCTTTAAGAACCTACCCCATTGCCACCGTCCACACCTAGGTTTCATCTCGGATTCCATATAGGAAGGCGTTCTTGTGGCAGAGGTTTGGTCGCCTCGTCGACCACAAGACCCTACTCATTTATCTAACCCTAATTTGCCAAATGACGCATACCCTTCTAACCCTAAAACTCCATACCCATCATAGAAGCTCAAGTAGGTTATTAGTGATGATTAGGACGACTTACCCAAGTACAATTAAAGCTAGATGAAGCATTAAAATCAACTAGAAAAATACATTCATTCAAAACCCTAACATATTCATTCATTACATAATAGCTCTAAAACTAGAGTTTGGGGGTTAAACCCCTAGTACATTAAGAGACTACTCCATAAAGGAGGGAATAAGATACATAGAAGAATTTGGGGAATGCTTGATGTCGAAGAAGATGACTCCTCTCCTCTTCTCCTTCCTTCAGCTTCTCTCTCTCTAAATCAGAAATTTATATCTCAAAATAAACTCTCTTAAAACAAGGGAAGAGATCCTCTATTTATTGACTTCATTAGGGCGAACAAGTTCACGGCTGAGCAGGGGGAGTTCGCGGTCATGATCTTTCCCTTCGAACTCGCAATCTTCAAGCGTCGCCGTTTTGGTCTTCATTTTCTGGGTCGCGGGCCGACTTCACAGTTGCGATCCGTGAGTCACGACCGCAAACTTCTTCGCGGTCATGGAAGACGGTGAACTTGATTCGATCGTCGAAACTTTCTGTCTCTTGGGTGGCTTCCTCACGAAGTTCATGCCCAAAGGCTCCAATTTTGCGGTCGCGATTTTCTATCCTGCTCCGCTGTCTGTTGGCTCGGACGAGATCTTTCCCTTCCAGACGGTGTTCATCAGTTCCCTGCCCATTTCACTACACTTGTGCCCTTTTTCGTAACTAATTCAGATGTATAGTCTAAAGCACCCTAAAAATCACGACTTAACCAAATAGGAACGAAATAGGGAAGCAATCGATGATATTCTTCCGATTATTCACATGAATTAGCACGAAACGAACCTAAATATGAAGGGTAAATAACACCAATTTGGGTGTTATCACCCGCCATTCGAAAGTCAGCCGAACGGAGAAAAAAAACTAAAGAAAGAATGATCACTAACCTTCGAGGCGACGACGAGCTCCTTCCTCCAGACAACGACTCCTTCAAGAACGACGTGATGACTTCTTCTAGACAACAGTGGCAGTGTCAACTTCCTTAAGCAACGGCCACAACGAGCTTTTACCAATGGTACGCGAGCTCGGGAGGAGAGTTTTCCAACAGCTTGTCAATACCTACAATGGCGAGCTCTTTCAGCTCCTGCGACGTCAAGGTCATGGGATAGGTGGTCGCCGACAACAACGAGTTCTGTGGGAGGGGAGTAAGCTATGGGGGAAGAATGAGGATGGGGAATTAATGATGTTAGAGTTAGGTTTCAACTTTAAAGTAGAGTAAAATTGTAGTTTTAAAACATAATGAGCGGCAAATAGTAAATACTTGTACGTCAAATGACAAAATCTGAACCATTGGGCTTCATATTCGAATTGGATCTCATCGCAGCCCGGTCCGTTAAAGACTTCCCGTTCCGCTTCTCATTTCCTCTTGCAGGAAAACTCAATAAAGAAGCAAAAAAAAAAAAAATCTGCAAACGAACGAAACGATTGAAATTTGAAAGTATACTTCTTTCAAGATTCTTCAGACTAGCAATAAACCCCAGTCAATAAACAAAGCTTAAACAAGAAGGGTAGAGAAATCAACTTGATTGGTGGGAATTTGGAGCAAGGGGTCACTTTAGGCAGAAAGCAGATGGTTTGCTTTGCGGCAGCTGGAAGCTGCTACGCAATAAGGGCGACAGCGGTTATGGTGTCAACGAAACTCCACGTCAACAGTTCCCACGCATATTCCCAATTTCCCCTCTCGTCTCGGCTACCGTTCCCTTTTCCCTGCTACAGTATATCTCCTTCAACACGCCGAGCTCTCGCCATGGCCGCTACTCCGATTCAGTCGTCCCCGGCTCCTCAGGTCCCTCTCTCTCTCTCTCTCTCTCTCTCTTTTCCAATTTCTTCCCATAAAGTTGCGATTTTGATAGGGTAATGAATTTTGGGTATGAACTTTTCATGGTGATTAGGCTGTATCTGGTACCGAAATCGGGGGTGGGGAAGATGTTATGCAATTGATCAATGCTCACCAGGTAGGGTTTTTTTTAAGTTCCAATTTGTGTGAGTGAATAAATGAATGAATGCAAGGGGGAAAAAGACTGAGGTTAATGAAATCATGGGGGTTTGTCTTATTGTGGAAGCGCAGAAAAATGCTGCTCGGCTTCCCGCCTTGGAGGAAATCCGGACGGTCCTTTATCATGGTCTGCGAGGGATGCTCTCAACGTTCTCTCTGGTTTGTTTTGTTGCTTACTGTATTTGTTTGTCATTCGATTCTATTTCCTTTCGAAGAAATCGAAACTAATAATGGAATGTTGCTGAGTTGTAGGATATTTATGGCTATCTTCTCCAGGGACTGACTGATCTTTGTTCCTCTGATGTTGCAGAAATACGAGGGTTATCCATCTGGGTCGATTGTTGATTTCGCATCTGATGCAGATGGGTCTATTATATTGGCAGTCAGTTCCCTATCAGTTCATTCCAAGGTTTGGTTTATTGCTTTGTTAACGGAAACTGAAATTGTTCAGTTATTAGATCATTCCTTTGAATCTTAGATTTTTTGGGTTAGGTAGTCTTGGAATGATTTTTCTGTTGAAAAGAATTGGCAGTTGTATTTTCTAGACTTCGGTTTTCTGATCGCTAGCTGCATCGATGTACACAGGACCTGTCAGCTAATCCAAAATGCTCCTTGCTCTTTGCTAGAGATCCCGAGGACAGGAGTGATCTTATGATCACTGTGCATGGAGATGCTATCCCTGTATGTTACTTCTATCATCCTTATTCTTAGATGACAATTCGTTGTAAAGTTGTTTTGCACCATGATGCGAAGAGATCTTTTTTATAAATGTTTAGGTATCTAAGCAAGACGAGGCTGCTACTAGAACTGCTTATTTGGCCAAACATCCCAATGCGTTTTGGGTAGCTTCCCTTTTGCCTTCGTAGATTCTTTTGGCTAGTCGTTCAAGACATCATTGTTTGCCCTTATGAGTTGGGACTGAGTCAACACTTTTCGTTTGAAGGTTGACTTTGGGGACTTCCAATTTTTAAGGATTGAGCCAACTGTTGTACGGTATGTGTCTGGAGTAGCATCTGCATTGCTTCGATCTGGAGGTTTGTGGATTATCCAGCATTGTCTTTCTGTGTACTCAGTTTTTCTATTTGGAGGTTTGTTGATATTGGGGTTTCTGAAACATTCATTCTTTTGCATTTGACATTGCCATGTTCGAACAACATCAGAGTTCAGCAAGGAAGAGTTCAAATCTACTAAAGTTGATCCAATATCCCTATTTGCAAAGCCTGTTGCGGTATACACTGCTTTTGTAGTGGATGCTCTTTCTGTTTGGTCCTTGTTTTCTTTGTGTACTTGGATACTATTCCATATATCATCCTCTCAGTTGAACTTGCGTACTATTTCAGTCTCACATGAATAGAGATCATGGTGAGGATACAAAACTGATTGTGAAGCACACGACATCAATTCCGGTAATTTTTTACTTCAACTCATTGCTACTCATTTCTTACTGGTTAGGATCTGCAAATGAAATATTAACTTTTGACTTAAAAAACCAATAATCAATATCAAGTTTCCACTTTCCCCAGCCAGCTCATGTGTCTTTGAAGTCAGCAAATAGGTATTGCATGGGCTTGTGTCCCTGCAACATAGGTGATGATGTCTTAAGTGCTGACCCTTCTGGGTCAGCAACAATTTCTTTCTGATCATAGCAGAGATTTTTGTGAAAGAGCCCGATATATGAGCTAATAGCCCCTGTACATTTGCTATAATCTTGTTTCTTATACTCATTTTGCTTCATAAATATGAGATCTTGAAAGCTGTAAACTTTTGTTCAGGTGGATTCTGCTTATATGCTCGATGTGGATAGTCTTGGATTCAATGTCAAGGTATGACACTCATTGTTGGCGAACTTATCTCGACTGCGTTTGAACCAAAAGAGTTGTCTGACACTCAACTATTCTCTCTTTCATTTCACACCTCCCTGCTTCCCGTCCATCCCGCTCCTCCTTTTTCGTTTCATCATAGGATTGACTTATGGGGTTATGCTGTATATGTATAGGCTGTTTATCAGGGGAACACTTACAAGCTACGTATTCCTTTCCCTAGGCGCGCAGAAGAAAGAAAGTGAGCACCTTTACTCTGAATTTCTGGCCACTTGAAGTTAGTCATTCTGTATAAACAATTCAAATGCTTAAATTTCACCAAAAATCGTGAACAACTCTCTTCGATTTGAGGTTGACAGCCATATGAGATGTTCCGTGCAATCAATCCTGTGGCAATTTGAATCCTGTAAATATTCAATCACATTAACCCACTGTTTCCTCGTCTCCAGGGACCTTAAGACTTTAGTTGTTGAAATGCTTGAAGCTGCCAGAGGCCAGACCTAAAAACAAGCTCATGGATGCCCTACCAAGAGAAGAGCAGAAAGGTGAGAACTTGCTCAAGAAATAATGCTAGTCTGTTAAAGAGACACTGATATGGTTTGGTAAATAGTTGAACGATTAGCCTTGAAGACTTTTCGATTGTGAATATGGCCAAACAGAGACCCTCTTGCGTTGTCCACCCTTGTCTTAGTCCAGATCTTTTGAACTCTTTGTAATAAGACAAAGTTATTGTATGTCTGGCACAGCTGGAGATATATGGATTTACTTGTGATGATACCACAGGGTACATAATACAAAATGGTTTGTGTAATGTAATCCCAAAAATAAAGGGTTTGTTTGGCTCTAGCGGTAGTAATTAATTTCCATTTGGGAAGCTGATTTTGGAGTTGTGGTCTTTGGTTTTGGAGTGTTATGGTGGGTATAGGGTTAGTACAGAATCTGGAAGGATAGTTTTGGAAGGACTGAATCACTTAAATTGGGAGGGGAAAAGAAGAAGAAAAGACGAGAAGTTGGGGGAAAAGGAGAAAGCTAGTGGCTGTTCTGAATTCTGATGGTGTTCACATGCATTGCCTGTAGATTGGATTGGACCAGAAGTTCTGAGCTCTGTCACGATGTTGAATCTATCTCACTTGCTTTCCTTCAGATTGAGCAGAGATTATGATAATAATAAATAATAACAATTATTGAAATGGAAATGGTTTCCCGCCGATCTGATTAACTGATTAAGTGTTGTTGTACCTGGATTGGAATACAGTTTAGGTCAGTGGATTCTTTCACAAGCCACGAATTATATATTTTCTTGGAAAGACAATGGATGGACACTGGCTACTGAGTAGATCATTAGGGTTAATCCATTTAGTGAGTCAGCAGATATGGATGATCTGCTTGTCACGTGGACTTTATATCAATGCCACATCATCTCTTGACCTAGTAGCTCATTAGCGGGAAACAGAACTGCAATTGGTGAAAATCGTTAACAGAACGTTTGGTACCAAATGAATCGAGAATTCATTTCATTGTAAAATGAACTGCCGTGTAGAATTCATTATCAAATGAAATCCTATGTTTGGTATGTTATATTCAAATTTTTAGAAATAAAATGAAGTGTCGTGTAGAATTTCATTGTCAAATGAATTTCTGTGTTTGGTATGTCATTTGTATAAGTAATTTAGTTAATAAAAAAGGAGAACCATGTCATTCTATTATAATTAGTAAATACTAGTGGAATTCATTTGGAAATTCCATCTCAATTCCTCGAAATTGCTATAACTAGTTCCAATTCCGTAGAATTCAAAATTTAGAATTGAAAATAATTCATTTTAATACCAAACATGAAAATATTTCATTTCAAAATGAATTCATCCAGACTTATGGAATTCATTTATACCAAACGATATGTAAGAGTCAAAATTGTTGCACCCTCTTAATCCACTCACCGAAAGTCCGAAACAACACTTTTTATTCATCAATCGCCGGGTTGGGCAAGAACCATCCACCCACCGAAAGTCCGAAACAACACTTTTTATTCATCAATTGCCGGGTTGGGCAAGAACTGGGACCAGGACGGTTGGGTTGATGATAAGGAGGGAAGAGGTTCAGTGTTCCGAGGAGAGGCTTCAGACCAACTACGAGTAAAGATGCAAATGAGTCAAACTATTCACAAGCTGCTCGATGTTTGGATCAGGAAAAGGGTTGATGATAAGGAGGGAAGAGGTTCAGTGTTCCGAGGAGAGGCTTCAGACCAACTACGAGTAAAGATGCAAATGAGTTGAACTATTCACAAGCTGCTCGATGTTTGGATTAGGAAAAAATTCATTAGACACTCGTCTCATTTAGAAAGATACAAACGAGGGATTCTTGGGAAGGATAAAGAGACGATGCATGGCCAGAAAAGCAAGAGAGAGAGAGAGAGCTCTTGAGAAAAACTGACTTCATTCATCTCAAAATTCTTCAACTGAAATTACAGATCCCTCTTGGCTCCTCTTTTTTCTCCTTTTGAGATTCTGTACAGCAGAAGCAACAAGAAGAAGAAGCAGCAGAAGAGGAAGAAAAGAAAGAATTGAAGGCAGAAACAAGAGTGAGAGAGGACTTGGCTTTACACATATGACATAACCTTTCTCTCCCTCTCTATCACCAAACTCCAACCCACCACTCCATCCTCTTTCCTTTTCTTTTCAAGGGACAACCCTTTCCTTCCCCCAAAATGAAAAGACAAGTTTAAACAATTAACAAAAAATCTCCTCCCACCACCACTACCACCCCAAAAAATAATCCAGAGATATATAGCCATCGCCTCTGCCTCTGCCTCTGCCTCTGCCTCATCATTCTGAATCACTCTCCATACTTCCCATTGCTTTCAACCCTGTTGGTCTCTGTTTCCACACAAAACAAACCAAAATTGATAAATCAGCTTCATCATTTTTTCCCCACCTTATAATTGCAGTGATGAAAGTGAGAATAAAACAGGGGAAGAGAGGGAGGAGAAATTGAAATTAGTCAAAATTTTGGTTACCTTCTTGGAACTCTTCTTCTCCCTAACTTCATACCTCTCCTGGCACATATCAGTCAACCACGCTCCTGGGCAAACTGCCTGGCTCACCCACCAATAAACCCAGAAATCAGTCAAAAGACCAAAATACCCCCCTCCCAACCACCAGATCCATCCATTCCCACCCCCAAGTAACAAGAATGGTGAAGAGGAGAGAGAGAGAGAGAGAGAGACTTACGAGAACGGTTCTTTGGATGATTTTGGACCTCTTTTTGGGTCTCTGAGGCAACTTGCAACCTTTCATCGCCATAAAGTCTTCTTCTTTCTCTTTACTTGACAAGCTTATATACAGCTTCGGCCAAACCACTCTTTCTCTCTCTTCTATTACCTCCGCAGAACAGGCTTTCTCCGCTCCTCCACCTACCCCCAATCCTGCCGCCGAAGATCCTCTCGTGCTGTAATATCTGTCCTCCTTCTCCGGCGACGACGCTAATTTCCTCTTCTCATTCACCCCCGCCGATCGACCCCCCGCCGCATCTGAATTCCTGTACCACATTACGACTTGACTCATCAGCCAAACAGGGAAGATAGAAAAACCCAGATCGCCAAATATCCAAACAAGCGACCAAGCTCTGCAAAGGAGCAACCTTTGCCGCCGGCAAGGGAGTAGAAGAAAGATCTGCCTTCTTTTCTTCCGGAAATCAGACTTACCTTGTAATGCGATTGGAAAGGAGATGGTGGGAGATTTCTTTTTCTGGCGAGGAGACGACGAATCTATCAATCCGGGAAGTGATTCTCCGGTTGAATCCGCCGTTGGATCTCTGGGAGATGAGCTGAGGGCCTCTGACTCTCACGCATCTCAGCCGCTTTTTGGTCCCCCACTGCAGCAGTAAATCTGGTTCGAATCCTTTAAAACCTCTCTGTTGGCTCTTCTCTTCCTTCTTCTCCATTCGTATCTGGTTATTTCAAAGGAAAAGCCCCAAAAGAGTAAAAAACAAGGAAGAGTGTTAGGAGTATCTGAAGCAGTGGGTATGAAAATTGGACAAAGGTTGAGCGACCCAGGTCGAGAATTGATGTTTTTCTGTTTCTGGTACATCGGAATCCAGCTGTACGGCTGAAATGAGAATCCGAGGGATTTTGTTTTAAGGAGGGATGGGGGTTGAAATTGAGTTGAACTACAGACACCCAGAAGAGATCAGAGAAATTTGGACATTTTTGGGCTGTGCAAGGGCTGAGGTTTTGACTGGGTGTGGAAATCTGAAGAGGATTTGGTCGTGGAGCTCAAGATCTGTGGAAATGTTTTTGGTCTGAAGGAAGAGCAGGCTTCCGATCAAAAAAGGATCGGCCGAGAAGAACGAGGTTTCACAAACAGGAAGAAGATGAAGAGAAAGGGAGAAAGCAAACTCACCATTTACCAAATCCGAGAAAAGGAAGAGCGCAGCCGAAATCTTATGAAGAAACCGGAATTTCTCTCCCTCCGCAGAAGAGAAATCCCAGAGCGGTTTCGTTGAATGAAAACCGGTAGTTTCTTGAGAAGCTTGAATCGAAATCCCTCTGGCCCTCCCTTCTATGGCAACCACTTCTTCTTCTCCTCCTGGATTCTGAAGGCTAATAAGGTTTGAGAAATTTGTTGTTTTTCTGTGTGTCTGTATCTCCCTATTACCCTTTCTCTCTCTAAGTTTGAGAAATGTTGGTTGAGAGAGAGTCACAGTGGCTTCTCTTCTCCCTTTCCTCTATCTCCTTCCCTTTCTGCCTCTGCAATGTATTTATCTGCCGCTCCTCCCTCTCTCGTGTGTAATAAAATAACTGAAGTTTTTTTTGGCCGTTTGATCGGACATCGACGGTGAAGATGATGCTAGACCAACTGGCAGCCATTAATACAAGCCCAATGAACAATATCAGTAACCTTCATAAATTAAACTTAGCCGATTGGGCTCAGAACTCCTTTGTTTGGGCCTACGATGGCTTTAGGACTTAGGCTTTTAGCTACAGAGACGATCCATGGACGCAGCCCTGACTGAACGAATTTTCTTTTTTACTTTTTTTAGTAAATTCAAGGAAAATTGTTGACTATATAGATCAGTTCCGTAATTCCGTTTATGCGATAATTTGGGGAATGGATCACGTCAGTAAGCTTATGGTCAGTAACCATGAGTAACCCATCCACATCAGCATCCTCTCAATCCTGGAAAGCCTTTAATTTTCTCCTCCTTAATCTTTGACGTACGATTTCTCACTCGTTTTAAGTCGAAATTTAATTTTTTTTGCACAGTTAGATCAGATTAATTGTGCTCATCAAAATGATATCCACTTTGATATATTTTTTGAACAAAAAAATTCAGCCATTTTTTACCAGTCTATACCATATGGTATTGACTGGTATTGAAATAAGAGCATACCTATGGTTTTAAAAGCGTACCATGGTGGTATGAACAAACCAAGACTATAGGATGGTTGAATACATGATAGTAGAAGTATATTAATTGTCATTTACGACTTTTAACATTGTATACCACAAGATACCACCTCGTACCAGGGTGGTATTGTGTGGTATTTTTTGGTCTTGTAATTTGTTCACCCAGAAATTTGTAGATCCAATAGATCATGATGAACTCGTCCCTTCTGTGCAAACTTTTTCAAAAATGAATTAAAAACAAAGAAGATATCATATGGTATGCAGTTGGTACCGAAAGGCCAGAATTTTTTTTCTCAAAAAATATTGAAAATTGATCTCATTTTGTAGAGCACGATAAACTCGTTCCATCTGTGCAAAAAAATTAAAATCCGAGTTAAAACAAAAAATATATGAGTCAATTAAGAAAACTAGGAAAAATAAAAATTGTCTTTAATTCTCCATCCTTAGATCTGGATTTTCTAAATGAAGGGTCCAGATTTGGTTATTGATGGGTGCATAACTCATGATTATGCACCCTATCTTGAGCCATAATTTTGGATACCAGTTTATTAATGGTTTTTTGGATATAAGGATTTTATTTGGAATTTGGAATTTGAAATTCTAAATTGGATAAATTGTAAGTTTGGTTACTCGGATTACCAAAAAAATTCACGTTTGTCACTAAAATTATTTTATTCCATCATGGTCACTTAAATTAGTTTCGTAGTTCAAGTTTGGTCACTGATCATTAGTCTCTGTCATACTCTGTTAGCAATGTCAGTTAATTGTTGGCTGAGCTAACAAAAACATCTAATCAAATTAATTTTACCCAAAAAAGTAAAAATTTGACCCACCACATCATTTCACTCCATTACCCAACCAAACCCATGACCAGCCCCATTTTCTTGACCCTTCCTCTCCCCAACTTCCCCTTCACTCTCTTTCTTCCTCGGGAGTTAGGCCCTGCTTCATCGAAGAAAAATAGAGCTCAAATGCTTCCAAATAAACAGTGGTGTTCGTCAGCAGCCTCCATCCATAGATACCACGTCCTCTGGGAACTCACCTTAAGTAAAAACCAACATATAATTGGAGCATGTGAAGAGGCGCAAAATGTAATAGCATCTTGTTACGTGTATTTTGCTCCCTAGCATTAGTAGTACTATCTTTGTTAGAGTAGGAATGAGAATTGGGTTAGTACGTGGGTTATTTGTGAAGAAGGGTTAGGATTCTTTGAGTAGCGGCCAAGTAATCATAGGCGAGTAGGCTTAGGATAGTTTAGGGTTTAAGGTATATAAGACCATCTACAATGCAAGGGTTAAGTGCCAAATTTTGGCACTTTGGAGCTGCAATGACAAGTGCTAAAAAGAGATAGTGTAGAATTTTGAGAATACGGGGGCCAAATTGGCTTACAAAAAGACAAGGAGTGCTAAAAGGAAAAAACACAGTCTCAACTCTCAAGAGAGGGGAATTGTGTGACAATAGCCAAAAAGAAAGGGGGAGGGGGCGTGTGTCAGTGTCACCTTCACTAGCGCGTCCCCCACTTTTTTATTTTTATTTTAACAACCAAATTGCAGATTGACTCCTGGAAAATATCTCCACCAGTCCCCAATTTTGCTTCCAACGGCTCTTTTCTCCCCAATAAATATTTTTTTCCCCAGCAACTATAGTTTTTTTTAAAATTTTCTCTATAAATACCTCCACATACTTCACTTCTAATTACACCACAACTTCATTTTACTCTCCCTCTCATCAAATACCAATATCTCACTACATTTCTCTTACTCTCTACATTTCTCTTCCTCTCAAAATTCTCATCATGGCTACTCGTCAACCCAATTGGACCACAGACGAAGATAAGAAATTAGCCAAAATTTGGATTCAAATTTCGGAGAATGGTGCGGTTGGTCATTATCAACCCTAACCGGTGTTTATTGCTCGAATTATAGAAGCATTCAACAATGAAGGCACGGGAATTTATCGTTCCGATAGTGGGGTGTTAACAAGATGGAAGAAGATTAATGATTCGGGTCCAATTGTACAAATTTCCCCCCTCATATCTTGATCGTTTGGCTTTGCATTTCATCGTACCTCGACATATTTCACGCTAGGTTGTGCTTGTTTTGATACATTTCAGGTCCTAGCACTCGTGGAAGGGTCGAGGACGAGTTTTGGGACGATTGGAGGTCGAAAAGCGCAAAAAGACCGAAGAAAAGTCCAAAGTCAGGCGTGACAATTGCACCATGACAGTGAAGCGCAGGCGCCCATGAAGCATGTGCAGTTCACAGCCTGACATTGAAGTTCACGGCCTCTAAGCCCGTGAACTGAAACCACAACCCATGAACAGCGAGGCGTCCAGCGAGGTTTCAGAGGTTACTAATGATAAGGCAGTTCACGGTCTCTAAGATTAACTGAGTTCACGGACGCGTTAAGATGTTCACGGCCGAGAACTGGCCAACGCGGCCGTGAACTGGGGCACTTTCGGGCAAATATAAAAACAGCATCAGAAGGAAGAAGAGGGGATAGCTGGTTTTTGGAGAAGGGACACTTTCTTCTCTAGGGTTTCAACCCAAAACACCAAAGGGGAGTTCTAGAGAGTAATAGAGTGATCTTGGAGCTTAATTGAAGGCATTGATCAAGCTGGGAAGCAAGGAATCAAGCCTAGAAGAAGAAGAAGATCTAGAGGTTCCTTTGTAATATCTCCTCTCTCTCTAGAAACTCACCCTCTTCTCTTGGGTTTAAGAACCCTAGGTCTAGATTTGGGTTTAATGTTGATGTATGTGAAAAACTCCATGATTGATTGATGATTTTACTTAATTGATGGATGTTTTCATGAATGGCATGAGTTGGGTTTCCATTTTCATGTATTGAGCTTATGACCTAGGAGGGAGATAATCCCCTTTGAGCCCCCTTTTGGCGTCTTCGAGTCACTCCTATCGTATATTGTTCGGGTAGTCCCCGAGGGAGTTGATTCGACCGGTCTCCTAGCATTATACGAAACCTTAGGTTGAATAGAGCACTACCCATCCATCAATTCGCTGTTCCGGGTCATTCTCGAGAGTCGAGGGAGTCCATCTCCAAACGGTAGTGTATTTGAGTCGATCGAGCTACAAGGATACCCAACATCGATCCAAAGAACAGACCTAGGACAATTTAACCCAAGAGAGCTCTCAACCTTGTAAATAGCTAGGTTAGTGGTTAGTCCAGGTGACTTAGTTTAGTTTTATTAATTACTATCCTAGGTTGTCTAGATAACGAACCCTAAACCTAAAGTAGGGTAAGCATAGATCCCCGTGGTACGGTAAATTCTTATTGTTTGCTTGCCCTATGCTACACCCGGTCGACAGTTATACTTGGCCGTCGTTCGGGATGTTGTAGTTAGAACGAGTCAATTAGCCGTTATTATACGGTGTGGAATGGAGTGTTGAAGAGAGCAAATGCATCACCAATGAGCGGATCCAATCAAAGTGACGTGGTAAGTAAAGTTCTTATGTGAAATCTGAATTTTCATGCTCATGCTCTTTTCAGAGCCCAAACAAAAACAGATTTTGTGTTCGCTGATTGTTGGGAAATACTTGGAAAGTGTCCGAAATACATGGAGAAATTCCATATCCCCGTAGGATACATTCCACCAATGGATGGTTCTTCATCATCCATACCATCCGGAGTTCAAGCAAGTGCTCATCCTTATGTGATTCGTCGTCCCGAAGGTCGAGATAAGCTAAAGAAGAACAAAAGAGGAGGTGCGGATGGGAATCCTACAATGGAGGCTTTCCAAAAGACTATATAGGATATGGCGGCAAGCAACGCAAGACATGATGCAATTGCTGAGTTGAGGGAGGCACACGAAAATGCGAGGGAGGAACGCGAGAAGGCGAAGGAAGCAAGGGAAAAGATTATCCCCGAGGAGAAGATAATGAATATGGACTTATCTCAAATGAGCGCTCAAAATAGAGCATCGTACCAAAGGCATAAGGATGACATTATGGCCTCCTACCAAGAGTATCCAACTTCAAGCCTAGAAGATGACTCATATAGCCCCATTCCATGACACTTGAGGGTCTTTGGGTTTATGTATTTTTTATGGTTTAGTTTTTATTTTAAGCATGGTTTATAGTTGAATGTTTATTTTTAAGTACTTTGAATCAATGATTTGCTGTATGCTTTGTCGCAACCGTCCCTCCGGGGGTCCGTTGTCGTCGCGTCGGCATTTTTGGGAGTCGCCATCGATCTTACTTGGAGTGGATCGAACACTCGTCGGTTGGCTCTGACCTTAGGGTCAGAACCGAGAATTGGTCTGCGAAAATAAAGTTTTGGATTCGGGAGTACGGTTACGTGTGGGGAAGTTAAGCAACACCCCC